CCTTTTTAAGGGATAGTGGAGAACTTATTGGTATTTTGGCGAGTTTAGAGAATATTGAAGGTTGCTACTTGGTCACTATTGATGTTGAGTCCTTATATACCAGCATTAAACAAGATGATGGTTTGAAAGCAGTTAAATGGGCATTGAAACATAAATCACATATTAAAAGAACTCAAAGAGCATTTATTTGTGAATTACTAGAATTTGTGATGTCGAATAACTTCTTCTGGTATAATAATACTTTTTTTCAGCAATGTAGGGGCGTTGCTATGGGTGCTAAGTATGCTCCCAGTGTAGCTAATATCGTTATGGATAAATGGGAAGAAGAATGTATATTTGAAAAATGGCCACAGGTGGCGCTGTATAGGCGCTACATAGACGATATTATAGTAATTTGGAGGGGTTCTGAAATAGATCTTGAAGGATTTTCAAACTATATTAATAAAAACCGTTATGGGTTGAAGTTTACTGTTACTAAAGATTTTGAAAAGGTTAATTTTTTGGATTTGATCTTATATAAATATGATGGACAGATTTATACTAAAACTTTTTTTAAAGATATTGATAAAAATAGCTATATCCCGGTTTCAAGTGGACATCATCCTAAATGGCTATATAATACCCCAAGAAGTCAGTTTACAAGAATTAAAAGGAATTGCAGTTTAAGGAAAGATTTTGTTGATCAAACTGATGTATTGATCGATCGGTTTATTGAGAAAGGATATAAAAAAAACCTTTTTTGTCAACAGAAAGGGAAATGATTGATAAAAAGGATAGAAGTACTTTTCTGTCTAATAGAAAGATAAAGAATAACAACTTTGATATGGCTTTTATTACCAACTTTAATAATCAGTATAAAGAGATTGAGGGTATTTTCAAGAAATATTGGCCGATTTTGTTAAAAGATGAGGTATTGAAAAAGATCATCCCAAAAAAACCTAAATTTATTTATAAGAAAAATCGATCTATAAGGACGAAATTAGTGCATAATGTTTTAGATCCACCAAAAGAGGTGGATTTTTTTCCCGATTTGAAGGGATTTGTTCATTGTAACAGGTGTAAAGCATGTAGAACGATAAATAGATCGAATAAAATAAAGAGGAAGAAATTTATTTCAAATATAACTAAGAAAGAATATAAGATCGAACAACTTATTTCGTGTAATTCCTCTCATGTGATTTATGTTTTGGACTGCCCGTGTCATTTTCAGTACGTTGGAAGAACAGGGAGACAGTTGAAGACTAGGATAAATGAACATTTGAACAATATAAAGAGAGGGTTTGACAAACATAGTGTTTCAAGACATTTTAAATTAAGACACAATAGTGATCCGAGTTTAGCGACATTTTATGGAATTGAGAGAGTAAAAAGTCATTGGAGGGGTTCAGATCTGATTAAAGAAATATCAAAAAAGGAGACTTTTTGGATATATGAATTGGAGTCTTTAGTACCAAGAGGTTTAAACATAGATATTGATTTAAATTGTTTTTTGACTAATTTTTAAGATAAATATTTTAAAATATTGATTACATGTAGTGATCGTTATATATAGTTTATTTTAATTTGGTTTATATTTTTATTAAAAAAAAAAAAAAAATATTTTTTAATTTTTTTGTGTATGAGAAGAGTTGTGCTTTAAGTTCTGTGCATGGCCCTTTAAGGGTTTTTCTGTGGTTTGAAGAGCCATGCACAGGATGGTATATATTGCTTTTCTGCATATATTTATGTTTTTATATTTATATTTTTTTGTGGGTGATTTTGAAGGAGAACGGTATTGTGCTGATTCAAACCTGCAGGGTATATATATTTAGCTTTTTTGTTTATATAATAGAGTATATGTATAATTAAATTGGGAAACACCTGTTCTAGCCGGCGTGATTAAGGAGACTAGGAACGCAGTGATTGGCTGGGTGTTAAAACTATGTAGATGAAGGGTGGTATTTATAAGAGCTGTCTGACGTTCCCATCTGTACCGCCCCTTGATGACGTCGGTGTGTGACGAAACCGGTTGGGCGTAGCCTATTTGATGTGGATGTTAGAGAGCCTTGCTGGTCTGTGCTGTATGGGAGAGATCTGCGGTGAGCGTTAACTGTATCTCAACCCTTTTTTGCGATTGAAGCTGGTGTCTGTTGGACACCTTGTTTGTGAGTTTCCTTATACCTTTTTTATTAAAGAGATAAATGAAAAAAACGTATTGCACCATTATGTTCTCTTTTTTGTCCCTGAGTGTACTGCATGCTCTCATGGAGGTATGAGAGAGAGTGGAGAAGTTCATCATAAGAGCTTGGGCTGCAAAGTTGTTTGGCTGTGATTATTATCTGGAAGTATCTGAAACATCACCATATCTATTTGGACATCGGGTTCATTGCTCCCAGAGCACAAGCGCTGTGCTGGTTTATAATCTGACCAGCCATTAGCTCTGGTGAGTTCATTTAATCTCCTTTGGTGGTGTGATTTCTCACAATTGGTTCAAGTCACTGAAGATATATATATTTTTTTGGGACACTAATTTATGTTTGGACACTCTAATTTATTTAAAACACTAATGTTTTTTGGATGATGACATACACTTTTGTATAAGTTTGTTATTAGCGCATACCTTTTAATTTGGATAAAAGGAGAGAAAGATCTACATCATATTTGGTCTCTAAGAAGATGTAATATGTTGGTTGTTGGAATGTGAAACCTTGTCAAATGGAAGAGTGGATGTTTTTCAAATAATTGCCATTAAGGGTGTATCTGCTGAGCATGGTGAAATCTCTCCAACACTCATTCAGCACACCCCTCAGACCCTTTCATTGGGAAGTATTAACTCAGCGGTACCCTAAAGTCAAAAACGGCTGCCGAGATTGGCAGCTACAACTCTTTTTTTACCACTGAAACTATGAAGGACTATTAAGAGTCATGAGGCCAAAGACCAGGGGAACGTTTTTATTTTACCTTTGCCTATCTATTGTTTTAGAATATCAACTGATCATATCAGTTTCATTAATACTATATTTAAAAATTACAAAGGTGAATTCTAGTATGTTACTGTTTAATGCCACTAAGCTATAAAAGCATGTCTCATCTATGCAAAAACACAGTCAAGTCTGAACATAAACTATACATAACTGAATTTGTTACACTGGCTGCATACTGCTGTTTTGTTACAGCTGCATACCTTCTTGTAAATTCACACACATTTTGCTGCATGATGTTACCTACAATAATAGTAATACTTAAAGAAAGTCGGAAAAAAAAGAGGAAAACATAAAATACCACAGAAAATACACACTATGTTTCGAAAAATCTGCTTGCAAATATCACTAGCATCAGACTGAATAGCAAAAACAAGCTTAGTGTAACAGCTTTTGCCGCAATTTTATTTTAATATTCTGGGAAATGGCATGACATTGTAGAAGTTTTCCAGTCTAAAAAGAAATTGAAAAACATTCCCACCATGCCCAGCTTTAATAGTGTGGCTAGGCAGCTCTGAGACTATATGTGCATTAGCTTACTCTAGTGGGTCAGCTCTGAGACATGGTATCCCAGGAGTTCTCCAGCCACTCGGCAGAATGATATATGTGTGAGAGGATGCATTCAAGAGTATGCATACTTTACAGTATAACTAATGCAGGCCATAGATGGGGAGAAAAACGGCAGATTTTCGGCCAATTAACGAACTATCGGTCGGTCCAAAAAAAACTTACCTGACCACCAATTATTACGAAAATCGGCCGATTAATGAGTAACCTATAACGGGAAATGATGTCATTTTGTGGCCTTTGTGATCCTTTTTCGGAAAACGATCGTTCGTTTTTGACCATCAATGAGGATAAAGTCGGGCGTTTTTCGAAAATTTTCCAACATCACCGATAATCTGAAAGTCCAAAATACACGAAAAACGGCCGACAAAATCGTCCACTAACGATAAGATAATCGGCCGGTTTTATTTTCGGACGAAAAATCGGCCGTTTTTCTCCCCATCTATGGCCTGCATAAAGGCCCAATTTTTTTTTAATGTTCTGTATAGAGTGGAGAGGGATTAGAATACCTGTCAGGTTTGTATTTCTCTCAAATCTTTGAAATTCACCCGCTCTTTTAATGCGGTTTACCATTATCCTCGAAAGTGAAAATAGTTGTTGTCACCATAACCGAAATAGTACGAAACAACCAGGGATTCCCTCACTTTGGAGGGATTTCCTCTCACTTCCTGTAATGTCTATGGAACACAGGTGGGGAGGGAAAAAAAAACTGACAGGGGTTATAACTCTCCTTTACTTTAACCAAAATTAAAAAAAAAAAGTTTTGCCTTTAGGCCTACTATAACTGATAGCTTGTTCTTTTATTAAATCACAACCAACTGAAACCTGAACTGAAAAGATTTACACTGCAGATTTATACTGCAGACACTGGATAGCTATACCTTCTACCATTTAATTTAACCTGAAAGTCCTCTCAAAACTCTACTTCTAGGTAGGCTTTATTGCAATTTTAAAACCCCGCTCCTGTCCTAGCACAGAGGCAGTAACTTTTCACCTTCAGCTTTATGCCACTGCATAGTAATTATGTGTTTTTCTGCAGCACCGTTCACAGAAAAAAGGACTAAACTGCATGACCAACTGTTGGGCAGACTTCAGTTGCATAAGCTGCTTAACTAAAAAACATCTGTAATAATTTGTGGATTCCTGCAATCAGCCTTCACCATGAATTTATACTTTGCAAATGATTGCACACATTATTTCAAGTCAATTGTATTATTATTATACAGTGTTTATATAGCGCCAAAGGGTTTGCTCAGCGCTGTACATTAGCGAGAGGGACAGTACATGAGACAATACAGTACAATACAATACACGAGGGGTTCGAGGGTCCTGCTCTTTCAAGCTTACAATCTAGGAGTATGTATGATATATGCTCAACAGCAATCCAGGACTAATCACAACTGATTTTTGAAATGTATCCAAATTTGTCCCTTTTGCCAATAATAAATAAAAAAAAAACTGCATTACACTCACCATTTGTCGAAAGGCTTTGGAGCCTTTGTTGCGTGGAAAAGATCTTTCAGGTACCCAGACTCTTGTAAGGCCTTCATTTGAATTTGCTCTTGCCCTTTGTAGCTTTGCCAGCATTGCTTTTTCCTCTTTCTACATATAAGGATAAATTGAAATTAATATCAAGAAGCATTTTATTGTTATAAATTTAAATGAATACCATATCCCACAGATTTCCACAATAACAGTCCTGGCCATTTTAAGTCTTCCCTTTCACTTCCACTGTGAAATTTTACAGTTGGATCCTTTCAGCAAGTCCTGCACAGCAGCAGGTCCTTATTACAAATCCTTATCTACCATAAGGGCTTGTTCACACTTGCAATTGAGGAAGGGGGGGGGGGGCAGTAAAAACAGGGGGTTGATCCACATTTTTACTGCCCCTCCCCTTCTCTACAAGCCGACATGGTGCCACTTGGATAAGTGCACAATGCTGTGCATTGCGGTGTGGCAGTTTTAACACTACATGCCTAATTTGACAGGTGGCAACAAAAAGGAGAAGAAAAAAACACATCAGGAGCTGGCAGTATTGCCTCCTGAATGCCTGCAAACCTCATTTCACAGTCCTCTGAAAAGCAGTTCATCGTGAATCACTTTTCATGGGGTGGTAAAACACTCTAGCCCTTAGTTATCAGTATTGTAGTGAGCACTCTGGGTTTTCTACCCAGAAGAAAGGGAGAGAAAGAAAGTTTCTTGAAAACCTTTTTGTCTAGGAATTGCACCTCACTGTCAGCTTCCTTTATTAGTATCCTTTCTTGACCCAATTAACATGCACACATGCAAAATACATAAACAACAATATTTTTAACTGTTTTCTAACAGGCTGCTGGACAAGTACAATAAAACTGTGGGTAAAAAGCCAAGTAAACATATAAAGCTATTACAATCTGCATGACGAAAGGGGCACTTTTCCCAAAACTGATAGATGCTGGAGCATCAAAGAGGATCTCCTACCAGAAAAGACAATATATATAATATCTAAACATACATACAAGTACTCTTATCTATGTCCAGGCTGCCTTATCTTTTTGTGGATCTGTTTTCAGGCTGTCTTTATGCAGCTGGTGTCTATGCTCCCGCACCACCATTTTAAAGTGTTTGTTATCCTATGCATGTGTCAGATGGAACATATGACATCAAATACCCCATCATGCGCATTTGCCATAGGACAGTACAATCATAGATGTTTAAAAAGAAACAAAACCTTCCTCCAAGACTTTTGGGAGAAAGGTTTCTTGCTCCCCCCCCCCCCCCCCCACATCTTGCACATGTGCACTATCAGAATACTGTGAGATCTCAGGAGATCTTGCACCTTAGGTACGGGATCTCCCTGGAGGCATTAATGATGCTGCCTTCCCGGGGGCATCTACAGTTCGTGACCAAAATATTCAACCCCCAATGCTGTAAAGGGGTTTAGGGACTAGTGCCTTCAAGGCAACCAGGAAGCGAGCATAAAAAATGTAGGTGAATCAAAAATGGTTCTTTTTTTCTCTTTTAATCAAAGTGTTAGAAGGAAAGGTCCCTTTTAATCCACCTGACAATTTCTAATATGTCTCAAGGACAGCAAAATGCTGAGATTTCTGCACTTGATTTCCTTGGTTACTGCAACACCTAAGGTGGCCACTATGACAGGCTGCTATTTTCTGTTGGCTTAGGAAGCTTTAAATTTTGTAAAATAGAAAGAATTCAACATGTGGAATGGGAACACACAAAGGTTGATGAAAAAAAAAAAAAAACTCCCCAGGTGGACAGGGCAGCTGTTTGGGAAGAATAGAAGGCAAATCTCAACATACACACATATATACATAGTTGTGTTGATGAAACAAAATAATAGCAGTGTGTTGAAAAAAGTGAATAAACCTTGCTCCAAATCCTTCTAATAGCTTTTATTTCCATACACACAAATGCATTGGGAACACTACACATTCTATTCCCAAATCAAAACATGAAGAAAAATATATCAAATTTGATGCGTGTGGACCTTCTCTAACATCGCTTGACCAGATCCCCAAGCATAAAGAAATGTGCCACATAGAGCAATGTCTGCCATGAGAAGTGCTGCGAACATTTTGAGATGTGTTGTTCCCTCTAAAAGAAAGCATTGAAGAAAAATGAATATTAGACTGTTCAAAAAAATAGCAGTGATTTGTATTCTTCTTTACAAACTCAAACATTCACTATATAAACTGAAAAATGTTTGAAGATTTTGCTTTCCTTTGAATCACTTAATTTCAATATTTAGTTGTATAAAGCACTGTTTCTGAGAAGATGCTGTACATCTGTGTTGCATGGAGTCAACCAACTTCTGGCACCTGTGAACAGGTAAGTCCAGCCCAGGATGATTGGAATACATTTTTCCAATCAGTTCTTCTCTATTTCTTGGTTTTGCCTCAGAAACTGCATTTTTGATGTCACCCCCACAAGTTTTCTCTTGGATTAAAATAGAGAATCCGTGGATTGGGCTGGCCACTCCATAACGTCAATCTTGTTGGTCTGGAACCAAGATGTTGCACGTTTACTGGTGTGTTTGGGGACGATGTCTTGTTGGAACACCCATTTCAAGGGCATTTCCTCTTCAGCATAAGGCAGCATGACCTCTTCACAACATTCAGTATTCTGATGTATTCAAACTGATCACATGATCCCTGGTATGCATGATAAAACTAGGCCCAACACCGTAGTATGAGAAACATCCCCATATCATGATGCTTGCACCACCATGCTTCACTGTCTTCACAGTGTACTGTGGCTTGAATTCAGTGTTTGGGGGTCATTGTTGGACACACCCATTTCAAGGGCATTTCCTCTTCAGCATAAGGCAGCATGACCTCTTCAAAATTCTGATGTATTCAAACTGATCCATGATCCCTGGTATGCGATAAATAGGCCCAACACCGTAGTATGAGAAACATCCCCATATCATGATGCTTGCACCACCATTCTTCACTGTCTTCACAGTGTACTGTGGCTTGAATTCAGTGTTTGGGGGTCATCTGACAAACTGTCTCCGGCAACTTTGTAACCTCTTCAGCACATGTCTTTTTTTCAACAGTGGGACTTTGCGGGGGCTTCTTGCAGATAGCTTGGCTTCACATAGGCGTCTTCTAATTGTAACAGTACTCACAGGTAACTTTAGACCTTCTTTGATCTTCCTGGAGCTGATTGTTGGCGGAGTCCTTGCCATTTTGGCTATTCTTCTATCCATTCGAATGGTAGTCTTTCGCTTTCTTCCACGTCTTTCAGGTTTTGGTTGCCATTTTAAAGCATTTGCGATCATTTTAGCTGAGCAGCCTATCATTTTCTGCACTTCTTTATATGTTTTCCCCTCTCCAATCAACTTTTTAATCAAGGTACACTGTTCTTCTGAACAATGTCTGGAATGACCCGTTTTATTCAGAATTTCAGAGAGAAATGCACTGTAACCAGCATGTACAACATTTGCTGCCTTCATTCCTTAAATAAGGGCAATAATTGCCACCTGTTTTTCAAAGAATGAATGACCTCACTAATAGAACTCCACACTGCTATTATTTTGAACATGCCCCTTTCAATTAGTGATTCAATTACACAGAATCAGCAGTATGCATGTCATGACTGTTGGGTCTGTTGGATTTCTATTACTCTACTACACCTACTAGTAAATTATGTGCCATTTAGAAACATCGATTCTACCAAAAACAGTGATTGATCAGGTTAGTGATGTCTGATTGCTATTATTTTGAACACAACTGTATATACAAAAAGCCAGGGGCTGACTCATGCCACCAGGCAGCAAAAATAACTGACTTTATATAGTAGATGAACACTTTACTACATCTGTAAAACCAGATTTTAATTAGAACAAATATCCAGACAGCAACAATAATATGGTCTAAATATGAAATAAAAAATTTAGCCATATGACTTAAAGCAGAACTAAACTCTCTCAATCAACACTGACTATTTTTAATCCTATGCTGCTAGCATTAGTAAATAGATAGGAAATTAAATCATATTTACTTGTTATAAACAGTTTCTTTTTTACATTAGTCACTTCCTGGTTTCCAGGTCTAGGCAAAATGATGTCATATATCGCAGGAGTCTTTAGCAGGGGGGAGGGTTTTTCTAAGCTAAGCAAACCCTCCTGCCTGGCCTAAGGGCAGATGGATTCCAGGAAGTAAATGCTTCATGAATCATCTGCCTCAAGATGGCCGTGACCACAAATGCTAGGGGGTGTTTTTGAAAATGATTTCTCAGCAAATAAAGCATGGAGACATAGATGGATAAGTGACCTTGCTTTGAATATTAAAAAAAAAACTAATTAAAATAGCATTTTCAGTTTGTGGTGCTCAGATTTTCAAACAGCATAAAAAGAGAACTATGGCTAAAGCTTTTTCGGACATTCTTCTCTTTGGGGTTACAGGAGTACACTTACTTGTGCTCTCCTTCGACCCAGAATCAACTGACAGTGGGCTAAAGCCTACTGTTGGCTGATGCCACAGAGCCATTCCAGGCCCTGGAAGGACCCGACCATATTGGCCATATATCAGGATCCACTCAGATGCCTGATGGGCAGCTGGTTTAGTCTCTCAGCATGCCACTGAGAACCTGAGCCAGCTGCTCCAGCACAGAGCTCCAGTGACCGCTGGAGGGGGCAGAGCAAACAGCATTAACTACCAATCACTGCTCTCTGCTCTGGGAAAACCAAGATCAGTGGTCAAGTGATAAGTCAGTTCTCAGGCTTACAGACAGCATGGGACAGCTGCAGCATTGCACCGATACTGCAGCATGGAAGGGAATATGTAAGTTTATTTTTCTATTCCCAAACTTCTCCATTAAACTCTGATAAAAATAGCTATAAAAATAGCTATAAATTTTTTTTGTACAAGAGGATCCTTATCTTGGTGTTTTAGTTTTGTTAATTGAACATTTTGTCTCTTTATCAACATATGTTGAAGTACTGAAACATGCCATAGTTAAAGATGATCAGTGAAAATTTCTGCACACATCAACATATGTCAAATTACAATGCCTTGCTGATTCCGTTCATCTGAATATAAGTGGAAAATGCCTCGATTTCTTGTTTGGTGTCCGCTCAGAAGACTACGGGGAGGGAGGGGAGGAGGACAACTTCCGCTTCCGATCGCCTAGGCGATAGCAGTGGAAGTGGGAGTGGGTACCTGTCAAATTCATGTACCTGCTCCCCCCCCCGCTCCCCAAAGGTGCTAATCCTTAATGGGGAGCAGGGGACAAAGGCTTAAAGCGGAACTTTCCCTTTGGGGGGGAGCTCCGCTTTAAAGCATTTCTATGATTTGTATAATACTACCAGTTTGTTTGTGCCTAACCTTGTTATAATACAAGATTATCTTCCTTATTTTTCCAAAGGGAACAAGCCCACCATGGCGAAATGAAAGACAGTGAAAAAAAGAGATTTTCAATAACTGAAGGCAGTATTGAGTAAGGGACTATTGTCAACGACCACCGACTTCACCTGTGAATTTCTTCTTGGCCTGTGAGCAGTCAAACAGACAGCTCTGGGAGCAGTCTTCTCACAGGAAATTATGGGCAAATAAAATCAATTGGCATACCTCAGCTGGAAAGTAATCCTTGCAAGGAGGAACCATTCAAGAACGGGAAATAATTTCCTGGCCAGAAAGTGGGCACTAGAGACACTGGGTATTACCTTTTGGGCAGACAATTCTAACTGACTGCAGACCATTCTCCAATACAGTGGTTGGTTTGGAACAATTGGAATAATAAAAGAGTCATAAGATGTTTTTGGGATCTGCAAGACTGCAAAATTTGTGATGAACATAGGTCACTGACCCAACAAGGTAATTCTGTATGTTGGCAAAATGTGCTCCTTCCCACATGTCTAAGCAGAGGGGGGAAGGTATGTGAGGCACTTGCTGGCAGGATAGTGGACAGTGTATATGTCCAACATAGCTTTCTCATTTACGCAAGGTGAGAGGCTCAAGGATTTGCATATGTTGTGGAGAAAACAAACTTTGTTTCCTCATATCCTAATAGGTTCTGGTCTGGGTCCTGGAGCCCAAAGACTTTGTGGAGCTTGATGGAATAAAGCCTACATCCTTATCTTACCTACTACCCAGACCTCATTAATTAGTCTAAGTTGTCCAAGGCCTGTTCATGTTTAGGCTGTTTGGTGTGCAGTGCTTGTTTTCTCTCCCATTCCCACTGCTGTGAAAGCCTGCGGCTGCCGAGTGAAAAGGCTGATTGCTGACAAAACATTAAAAATATATTGCCTGTTGGTTTTGGGAACCTATTGGGGGCACCATTAGGCTGGAATGGACATACGTTTAGTTGCTCAGGCAAGGAGATATTTTGTTTGTTTTATGCCATGGACTTGCTGTACAAAGTTGCTCCTGCACTGAACTATTGCCTTTTATTCAATGCTACTGCCTTGCCAAATAAAAGTGCAGGACAAACATGATTTGGCTGTTCCTAGGTGTCCCTGTCTCATGTATGGTTTACCGCTGCCCCTTGTAAAGCCTGTCCCCTTTACAGCACCTATTAGAGCAGAATCTTAAGCTGCCAAAGTGAAGATAACAGAGGGCCTCATAAAAAATAAGGGAATTCAGTGAATAACTGATAAACGGCATACGTATTAAAAATGTAGCATAGGTGTGAAATAATATTTCACACCTTTGCTACATTTTTAATACAAACTGAATGTTTTGATGAGAAAGATTATAATGTGACCACATGTGTGCAGTAAAACCTAAACGTATGCAGTTTATTGAAGTTACCCTACCTAATTAAAACGCTGATCTGGAAATTGCTTTATGACCTCAGAGTGGAATGTAGTGAGGCACTCTCTGGTCTAGTCATATAGGTAAATCTTTTCCCAAGATTAGATACAGTAAAGTAAATTTACCCTCTTCTGGCTGCATCCGGTCACCAGGAAGGTCTTGATGTCATGTTCTTTCAGATATGCATTTCTTTCACCTCCACAACCAGGCTCCACCTCATAATCCCCATTCAAGTAATTTAGTGTTGCACTAGTGATGTGAATCCGCCTGAACAGATAGGAAGATAGCGCATTTAGAACACAGTCAAAGAAAAATTTGTAAAAGATAGAGTGGAATGTATACTGGGAGAAATGGGCTATCAATGCTGATCTCTTCCTGAAAATGCAGGTTGTCTGGCCTGCCATGCAGATCATCCGACTTTAATACTTACCGAGTCTCTGGCCTAGAACAAGTTTGCAGATCAGGTGTTCTTATGTCAACGGAGAATTGAAACCAGCAATTATAGCTTACATATTTGTCTCAATACAGGTTCCCATTAAGTATATATGACAAGAAAAATGTGAGGCCTGTTGTACACGGGAATAAAAAATGCTGAGTTTTTTTTAGTGATCAGAAGTGAGATGTATTGTTGTCTATTAGGACATTGCACACAGCTGAGTAAAGATCAGTAACACAGCATTAAGTACAGTAAAACAAAAATGTTTTATTTGAGTGCAGTAATTTACGCACATGTTTACTTATTTATAAGAGTATAAAGGAATATATTACAATACCGATAATAGATAAGAATTTTAATCCTCTATACGCTTGCACACCTTTACTCAACATTACTCAGGTCTTTACACACTGTTTTTGGCCCCTTGCACACGGGTGAGTAAAGATCAGTAAATTATGACGCCCTAGTGCAAGGGCCCAAAGTCATCTGGTGGAAAGGAAAACCCCATTTAACTACTCATTGTTCTCTGAATACAGATAAAGGCCAGTTTGCTATATCACATGTGTGAAAAAAACAATTCCTACAGAGGATTGAATGTTTTCAAATAAAAGATCACAGTCCCTCCTGCACTGTATATCCAGAGGCTGATGCTTACACTGCATTAAAAATAAAAAAAGAGAAAATATATGTATGAAATGATGTATGGAAAGATTAAACTCTACATTTACTCACCCTGCTTTACCACCTGCTTCCATATGGTTGGCCAGAGTCACATCGTTAGACCACACATCAAACTGCCACTTGCGCAGGCCAAGAACTCCACAATGAACACGTCCACTATGGATCCCCACTCGCATATTTACATTGACACCTGTCACTTCTCGCACAAGTCTGAGGGAAAATAAGAGATATACTCCATTATAATATGCATGCGCCAGACAAATGATCTTTGTTTAATAACCTTTAGTTGATATAGGTCAACAAGACTGCACGGATATATTGTCACTGATGAAAGACAATACAAATTCATAAAACGTATGCCCCCCCCCCAAAAAAATGAATAAACAAATGTGCAATATATTTCTGCAGTACTGACACATTTCTTCATGCTCCCTTGCAACAAGTACAGAAAAACGTAGGAATTTTGATGTATCTGCAAATGCCATATCTTAGTGTACAGTATAGGACAAAGGAATTTATTCTAAGACTATGGGTTATGTGCCTTCAGGTGATTGGACACTGGCAAAAAGCTTTGCTGGGCCCCCAGTGTATCCATATAACCCTTCTCACTTCATAAGGCTCCATTTTTTTTAGCAAGCAATAAGGTGATCACAGAGAAAAGAGGAGAAGGATATGTGTACTGTACTCCAAGATATGGAATTTACAGGCATGTCAAAACGCCTATTATCTAAATTGTACAGTGCGGCACACAGGAATTGATTCTTAAGCATCAAAACAGCGAGACAGGCACACAGGAACAACAATGGTCAATGGACCCAAAAAAATTGTTGACAGCAGAAGCACCTTGCATCTGAAGCATGCATTAGCAGAGGCTAAAACCAGCCACCTGTCAACAAACCATTTTGAAAGGAAAAAAAAGCAAAATCACCCAGATGGGTCAAAGAGGAATCTCACAGAATACAGAAACAACCCTGTGAGGGAAATCTGCCTGTCACCTGGACTCTCTACATGGCAGGACACATGAACATTCTGTTATCCTGACAGAAATCGACACTGGCTTTGGATCCCAATTAGGTTGAGATTACTAATAATGCTTTTCTGTTTCTTTCATGCAATGGGGCAACCTGTGGGCTTCCATCAACCTTATTTTTTTTCTGCTGTGTTCCTGCTTTGCAGATAACTAGGGTGGTGGGGGCCAAAGGCTTTGCTGTAGCTACCAGGTTATGTATCTGTGCTTTCCAGGCATGCCTAGCCTATGTTCTCCCACCACCCAACTACACTTCTGCCCTCTATCCACCTGTGGCTTGTGCAGATTTCTGTCCCAGATTTGTGGTGCTCTTTCTGGTGTCCACCCTGGCCTAGATCTCTCCCCATGTCACCAGCGCTGATGGCCAGGGAGCTGGGCTACCATGCGCCAACTCTCCCTCATGGGGAAACAGACTGTAGCTGACCAGGACTGCAGTGCTCCTATATCTTATGCAGGGATGTATGTTGTGTGTTGTTCTTATTTTGTCATGTATATACAGTATCTTTCTGAGAGCCTAGTGGTTGGGGTGCTGATATAAAGATAGGTTATAGTTTTCCTGTCAGGAGTTTGTGTATAATAATTTAACATGGTTTATTTGCGTGTATTACTGTGGAGTCTTATGTCACACCTGGGAGCCAGTATGGCCTCCACTTACCCCCAATCAGGCCCCTGCTCTCAACTGAGTGGTAGTCAGATGAGTTAGTGTTGTTCAATTATAGTTTTTAATAGTTTCAGACCTTCAATATCTTTGCACATTTCTACATTCCCTTTTCTACCACTTTGCTCTCAGTGTCTTTCATTCTCCCTCCCCCTATATCCTAATTTTGTTTTCTCGGGTGAGGTTATACCTGCCCTACGCTTGGGTTCATATTAGGTCTGTTGTGAAATTATTTTCATTAACGTACGGGGCCAGAATGTCCCTGAGAGGACACAGGTCCTTGGACAGGTATGGAGGAATTGTGCCCCTTCTGGGAAACACATTTAAGTAATTGAAACATCTTATATGGAGGAACTCTAGATATCCATATGTTTACCACAGTTGTTCTCCTGACTCCAAGTCACGGGGGGGGGTGAAGGTGGGGTTAGTATCCTAATTTCTAACAAAATAATGCGATTGCTTACAGACTTCCTCAGAGACAAAGAGGAGAGATTTCTTTTTGTTAAGGGGTCAATTTCAGGTCATCTTGTGACCCTGGTAAATATATACTGTATGCACCTAACTCTGGTCAGGTGGGTTTTCTGGTACATTGCCTTAAGAAATTGTCAGAATTTGCTGAGGGCTTGTGGATAGTGGGAGATGATTTGAATGTGGCCTCAGATCCCCTCCTAGATACCTTTACCCGCTCCTCACATCTATCATACGCTTTCCTATGGAGACTTCTGAGGGCAATATCCTCGTAAGGCTCAGTTGATGTCTGGTGTATTTTGCAGGCAGACACCCAGGACTATACTTTTGGCCTCCCACAACTTGTACATGCGGTTGGGTTACTTTTACTCCACTAGTCTGCTTGTTCTTTAGTGGTTGTGGGTAATATTGGTTTTTTACAACTGTTGCAATCTCATTGACCTTGGGTGACTGGGTCCAGCGATCGGAGAATTGGAAACTTTATGAGTGTGAACCCGCAACATATCCGTGAGGTGGAGGGTGGAATAAGAGAATATTTTTCTATGAAGGGATCTATGGAAACCTCCTCTTTGGTTGTGTGGGAAGAACATAAGTGTGCTGGTCGTGGGACACATTGAACTTAGGGCCAGGGAAAATAAAGAGAGGGCACGAGAGATTACTTTCCTTTTGGATCATATCAGGGCCCTAGAAAGAGTACATAAGAGCTTTCTGGCAGTTCAGACAGTTGATAACCTAAAAGTTTCATGCAACTCGTTGAATTAATTCTTGTTTTCAAAGGCAAAAAAAAAAATGACGTATCCTGGTGCCTTTTTTTTATGAATCTGAGGGAAAGCCAGGTAGACCTCTGTATTCCCATGGCTGTCTTCTCAAGGTGTATAGGTCTACTGAAATTGCAAACAGTTTTAAGGAATATTATGAGTCGCTGTAAAATATGCCTCCCAGAGGCCCCCTCACAAGCACATCAGCTATAGATTCCTATCTTAGCATTTTGGGGCTCTTGCAGTTTTCTCTGTAAAATAGCGAAGCTAGGGAAGGCCCTATTATGGAGTCTGAAATTTGGATGGCAATTAAAGACATGGAGGCGACCAGCGCTTCAGGCTCCTATGGCTTCCCGTTACTTTATTATCTGACTTTTTCAGAACTTCTTGTTCCACACTTGGTATATTTCTGTAATGCCCTGCTGGATGGAGCCGTATTCCCTAAAGACTCCTTGCACGCCAATGTCACCTTGATTCTAAAACAGGGGAGGGATGGATCAGACTGTGCTAATTACTGGCCCATCTACCTGTTAAATGTTAATTTTAAGAATTTTTACCAAAGTACTGAAAGCTGCTTGCTTCCAGTCATCCCTTCTTTGGTTTACAGGGGATTTATTTCTAATAGGGAAGCAAGAGACGACACATGTAGGGCTCTGAACTTGATCCAATTGGCCCAGTCAAAGGACATCCCAACACTGCTATATTCAGCAGAGAAGGCATTTGAGCACGTCAACTGGCTGTTTATGAAACATACCCTTCGTTATACTGCACTGGGGTCCAATATGTGCAAGTGGATAGCTGTCATCTACTCTTACCCTACAGCAGCGGTGAAGGCTAACGAGTCAATGTCAACAGACTTTTCCCTGAACTATGGAACCTAATAGGGATGCCCACTGTCCCCACTAATCTATGTCTTAGTTCTGGAACCCCTGTTATGTCACATTCGGTCTAACCCTGACATTCAAGGTCTTCAAAGCCAGAGTGCCCATCACCAGGTTGCAGCATAAGCAGAGGACCTGCTCTTCTTCATAACTAACCCAGAACTACAAACGTAATATACAGAAATCTGAGGCATTAAACAATAATTTACCTTCTAATACTATGCAGGGGTTCAAGACCACTTTCCTTTTGCTTGGGCCCAGACTAAGCTCAAGTATCTAGGCAAGTACCTTACTCCTTCCCTGTTGGATATCTTGGAAGGAAATCTCCCCCCCCCCTTCACCCCCTCACAGGTGTCGACCTTGAGGGCAACCTAAAAACCTAGGCACCAACAAGTGTTCACCTAGTTTGGGAGGCATGGTATCTTGAAAATGACCATACTCCTTCAAAAATGACTATATTTATTACAGACTCTCCCAGTACCCATACCAAGATCCTTCCTCAGGGTGACAAAAGCAGAATTTCTCAATGTTTTGTGGTGGTATAAACACCAAATGGATATCCTACCACCTCTTGGCCCTCCTGAAGGAAAAAAGGTGGAATTGGGTTAGACTGGACTTGATTAAGGAGTGGGTGGACTTAAAACAGTACATGTCGGCTCTCCCCCTACATTCTCTCCCATGGCAATCTTGCAGACTTAACTCCGAATGTCAAATCTCACCCTCCTGAATGGTAACATTGAGTTGATTGTGGTAAAATCAGGATGTGTATCGAGGTCACCCCGAGCCCATATCCCTCATGTCCCTAGTGATTGGATCTCAGGAGTTCCCACCAGTCAATAAATGTCTGCCAATAAATGTAGGATTAGGGGCTTCATATGAGACGCTAGTTAGTGGGGGTCTATATTGTGGATCCAGACCATGATCTCTCCACCACTGGATAATTGGCAGGCTATGCCACTACATCATTATCTTTCCACGATCCAATTAAAGTGACTAATGCATAAGTCCTTACCCCATTTGAGACGTACTGCTTAGATGGCACACCATTGAGGTATGTCCTTTTGACCTCATACTCGGGAGGTGTTAGCAACCTGATAATGTGATTCCTCTCTTTTCTGAGAAATTGGAACCAATCTGGGAAGCCCTTTGGTGCAATGAAACTGGGTTCTTTTTTTGCTCACAAATCTTCTCTCTCTAGCAGGTATCAAAAAGTGAGTTACGAATTGTTTATTCGCTGGTACAGCGTGACAACCCCACTACATAAGATCTTTCCAGTGGTTTTGCCGCTCTGTTGGAGGGGTCAGCAGGAGAATGGCAGACTGCTGCACATGTTCTGGACCTGCCCTTTCTGGTGATAAATCCAACATCTAATTTTTTATTTTTTTAATAATTTTTATTTATAAAATAATTTGGAAAGTCTGACTGCTGCTGTGTTATGTAGTGTTTCCAGAAGACCTGGTATTACTAGCACAGCTCCCTGGTCATGACTTAGGTGACCCCATCTCCTCCATAACAGGCATATTACGGACCCTTAGGCATTGTTCACACCTATGCATGTTGTAATCTGCTGCAGAAAAAAAGTCCCTGACCCTTACCAAAAAATGCAGCAGCTGAAAATGCATAGATGTGAATGTGTCCCATAGGAAACCATGTTAAAAGGATTGTGTGTGTTTCTGCAAAATGCAAAAAGCACAAAAAAAATGCATAGGTATGAACCAGACCTAAGGTACACTTCGCTGTTAAGGGTTTTAGCTCTTTCCCCCTTACACCCCCTTTACCCTCCTTTTTTTTTTTCTTTCAACCCCTCAGTCTTTCTTTTCTGGACTCTCCACATACCGTTGCGTTATAAAAAAAACAAAATACTACTATAGTGAACTCTCCTACCAAGGAATGTTGGTTATTTTGTGGTACATAACCTCCAAGCACCCTTGTATCTTAGCCTAGTCAGTCTGCAGTTCCCTTCTTTTTGTTGCTGATTGTATTTAATGGCTGAGGTAATATGTCGGGAATTAGATGGAGGGACGGAAGAGTGCTTTGGGAATTAAAGTGGAGTATTGTTACTTTGATCTCATGACCCTTATTTGGAAGTTTCCTGTCGCTTGATGTAAATTGTTGGCTCACTGTCAGGGTCTGTATATTGCTTAAGGGCTTAAAAAAATCTTCATAATGAAAATAAAATTCAATGCCAGGTGTGGGAAAGTAACAATTATTCATTGTGCTTTTGCTTATCTGTGCCATTTGCACTGTGCTCTCTGCAAATGTGTGTACCCTATCATCATCCTCAAACCAACTGCACTGTGGCCACTCTAAAAATGCACATTTTACTACCCATTTCTCCATGTATTCCAAAAAAAAAAAAAAGGAAGGAAGGGTGGGGCTATAGTACATTACTCCTGCACAAGCAAGAGCATAGGGTGATGTGGGCTAGCTAAACATACATACAGCTTCCCACCATTAATTCATTTTTCAGAAACAGTTGGAGGAGTTCATCATTAAACCACCCAACTATGTTCTACATTGTCCATTTAAATAAAAAGGTTCCATAAAATCGCCAAAATAAATCTAAGAAAGAATCAGTTCAGCTTTGGTTGTGAATCACATAAATTCCTCGCTCATCAAGATGTAATTTATTTATATTGTAACCATTTGTTTTCCTTGATCACAATGGCACAATACTAAAGCACTGAAGTAAAGATGCATATATGGTTATGTGTAATTATGCTCCAAGCAGAGCTCCACTTACGAGATGGCTTCAATCATGTCAACTCCCCATCTCCACACAGCAGTGAGCATGATCAGCGCGGGCCTCAGGCAATCCAGAGACACAATAGTAACAATCCCCCAGGATCTTTATGCGCAAGCAGTGGTTCTCCTTGAAACATGAAAAGACAGTTATAATATTACATCTGAATTACTGTTCAGTGCCATATGCTGTATATGGGTCAAAAACAACATGCAGTCATATTTGGTGGCACAATGATTATGTGTTTAGCAAAAAAATAATAGATAAAACAAAATTTAAATGCAGAGACAACTTTGCACTCAGTATGAGGTACAGAAGGATTAGACTTCCCAAAGTCTATGCTGTATAAGTGCCGCTGCTTTCTAAGTCACCAATCACATTCAATCTTCCAAAGCTAGCTTGAATTTGGTTGGTGTCTGAGAAATTTCATAGTACTGCATTTTTTACAGCAAGGAACTCACTATTATATAAACATATTACATGCGATCAGTCTGTCACATAGAAAACATTAACTGTATTGTGTGTATTATAGAAACTCTTATATTTTGGCACGCCGTATATAGTAATACATCATCTAAGCACCACTACACAAAATCTTTCATTATACTTTCTTCCATTCATTGCCTACTAATGAGGCCCTAACAGGGAAAGAAAACATTTGCTCTATCCTCTATCAAAAAAAGAAAATTCCGAGGTTATTTAAATGTTGTTAGGGAAATGTATGTCTCAAGCGAATACTTGAAAGTTCACAAGTGGGTAGCAAAACACTTTACATGGTTAAAACATTGCTTACTGGTCTCTGCATTCAAACAGAGCAATAATTAGCCTTGGACTTTCCCCCCAAAAGCTGTTTCAACTAGGTTGTCAGCAAGATTATGGCGAGGCATCTTTCCTGCATTGGTGGAGGTCCCAGTTAAATACCGGAGACATCACCAGGACTGGCAAAGAGACTGCATTGTAAAAGAGGTTTAAAAAAGATCAGGAGAGGAAGCTACCTCAGGAAGTCAGAAAGGTTGGTGGAAGAGGGGGCAGTGAAAGGGGAAAAACTCAGTCCTGGATTTCTGCTTTAAGTCTCCATTCACACCTGAGCGTAGCGGGAACTTGCATTTTTTGAGAATTTCTGCTCGTCGCACATAGAGAAACCTATTCACTTGAATTGGCTGCCCTATGCGTGACAAATGCCCCAAAGAAGCTCCAGAACCTTTTGGGAGTGGAGTGTGGGGCATTTTTTCACCACGTATTTTGGTGTGTTTGCAACTAGCTGATGTAACCAGTGCCTCTCAACTACCCCCTGGGAAGCTTGTGATGCTAGGACCTTTCAGGGAACTCTCTTAGGTAAACCACGGGATCTGTGTGGAAGAAAAAAAAAAAAGGTCTTTTTTCAGAAAATCCTGCAAGATCTCAAAAAAAAAAAAATCCATTCATTCTTTTTTCTTTCTACAAAGCTCTGGCATGGATGTCATCAGTCGGTAGTCCCAAAGACCAAGGAATAAAAGCTGTCCACCAATGAAGAGTACTAGTCAAAATGGCTGCACGGGATTACAGGGGGAGAAGAGGAGCAATAGTATGTTTGAAAACAAAAACCAAAAAGGCAAGACATTAAATTAATTAAATGCGTTTATTTAGCTATTTAGATACAGCAGATACATATGAGAAGGAGGAAGAGGAAGAAGACAGAGGTGGGGTGAAAGTCCACTGTAAGCTGTTCAGCAGTCTCTACTTCTGTGTGCGGGGGGGTTGTTTTGGTAACTGTCCCCAGCTGTTTGGAAGCAGGCTATGGAAGTGGATGCAGACACAGCCACTGAATGGACACAACCACTTGTCATGATTTGACAGCCGTGCACTCGTTCCTGCACAGCTGTAAAATTTTGACATGCAGCTGTGTCTGCATCCACATTCACAGGCTGCCTGCACACAGTTTGGATTGGATGCACATGCCAAAACAAATGCCTCCTGCACGCAGTATGGGTGCCAGCGCCAGTTCACTCCATTTTCTGTTAGAAAGTCTCTCCAAGGGGGCACAGAGAAAGACAAATGGGAAAAGAGTTAAAACTGCTAAGAGTTTTTACTTCTGTCTGTGCTTTCTTGTCTCAGTGGCAACTACTCTGTCATTTTTTGCCCTGATGTCACAGGGATCAAAATTGAGGAACATTCACACCAATGGGTTTCACAGACAGAAATAAAAGCTTAGCACAATATTAAAGTGTTACTAAACCCAGGACCCTGCATTCACTATGTCTGGTCTCCCACAGTACACAGAACATGGATATGCAATTATTTTAATACATATAAACTGCTAAATACCTTTTCTCATCAGCAGTTAGAACAGTCTTGTGACTCTTATCAGTGTCCAGCTAAGCACTGGTTAAAGCTTGTAGGAGGAGTTTTCATTCACCTCTCACTGTCCAATGAGACTGCAGGACCCCTGACCCTCTGTCCAGATAGTGCTGATTGGCCCTGTGCTGATCATATGCACTCTCCCAAAGAAAAAAAAAAACCCTCTGGCAATACACACCAAACTGAGTGATTCCTAGAGCTCTGTACTACCAGCAGATGGATTGGGAACAGTAGAAGAAGGGGAGGATCAGAGAAGACAGGATTGAATAGCCTTTTTACACAAAATGAAGGATTTACCCCTTGGGTTCCTCAGTGCGTATAGAAAGCATGCTTTACTGCATATAAAGACAGGTTTTATGGTTGTGGGTCTAGTAACACCAAGTTAGACATTAAAAGGTCCACTGCTGGGATCCAAAAACATACATGAGCAACATTCTATCCTAATCCCAGCAGCACCTCATGTGAGGTGAGACTGCTATATTTCTAAAAACAACTCTTAGAATCTATTCTGCAATTGTAAACCAGTGGGAAAAACATGAAATTACACTTAACACTTAACTTAATTAGCCTACATTTCTGGGATGCAGCTATCCCCTTTTAGGATCCCCTGAACACTTCTCATTGCTTGTCTCTGGTATATCTAATTTTATTTGCATCCCTAAATAAAAATAATTTTACAGTCTGAATGACACTTTTGTAACAAAAACATTTCTAAGTAAATAAATAGAACATTAAACCATGAGTCAGTAACATAATTAGTTAGACCACAAAAACTGCATTAAAAAAATAACAAACTCCAAGTGTAAGTTTAAATGCCAATATTTCAGGCATTCGTGGTGCTTGTTTGTATTTTGTGTTTGTGAGAGGAGCCATGAAGCCATATATTGTGCTTGCCAATTCTCACCAGGAGGCAACGTTCACACAGATTTTTGGAGGGCCTTCAGTCTGACTGTGGAACCATTTCTGAATTTCTGCTTGGAACTGTCATTCCTAAGCAAAACTGGAGACTAGCTGCATACTTTTAAAGTATTTCAAATTAAAATTGAGGTTATCAGAGTGTGTATGCGTGTGTGTGTTTCTAATCTGCATATTATAGACTCTTGTTAATCTGTCAGATAGCTCTAGCTGTCCTGGCACTCCTTGTGTTTGTTGGCATCCTTTGGCTCAGCAGAAAGTGTTACAACCAGTGAAGGGATTGAAGGGACACAATTTGAAATCAGTTCTAACGTCAACTGGGAATGGAAAATACAAAGCTCACTTTGTATTTTGTATACAAGACTGAAATACTGTACTTACTGCCGCTAACTTGTCAAATCGTGCAAAGAGTTCATTCAGAGTCATAACTAGCTCCTGAGCTGTACACTGTGATGCCAGGCTGGTAAAGCCCTCAATATCAGCAAACAGGATACTGGAAAAAAACCAAGACATGTCAGCATTCTTGCAGGAATCAGGAGTATGCATCATGAATTCATATAAAACACAGATCCTAATAAAGGAGCACAGTCGTTTTACAAAATTTCTAAATAAAAGACCCAGCAATTAACCGCTTGCCCTCTTGAGGATTTACCCTCTTCCTGACCAGGCCATTTTTTGCATTATGGAACTGCATTACTTTAAATGACAATTGTCATGCAACGCTGCACTCAAATGAAATTTACATCCTTTTTTCCCATGATTTGAGCTCTCTCTCAGTGGTGTTTGATCGCCTGTGAGGTTTTTATTTTTTGCGCTATAAAAAAAAGACCAACAATTTTGAGGAAAAAAAACAATATTTTTGACTTTTTGCTATGAAACATGTCCAGTAAAAAAATAAAAAAAATCTAATTTCGTCATAAATTTAGGCCAAAATGTACTACTACATGTCTTTGCTAAAAAAAAATCCCAATACATGTAAATTAATTGGTTTACATGAAAGTTATAGCGTTTAAAATGGCGGTATATATACTGGAATTTTTTGTTTTATTTTTTGCTAGTAATGGCAGCGATCAGCGACTTATAGCGGGACTGCGGCGGGCATTCGGACACTGCTGGGAACGGACTTGGTGTTACTGACATCCCAGTGACACCAATACAGTGATCAGTGCTAAAAAAACACTGACACTGTACTAATTGCACTGGGCAGGAAGGGGTTAACATGAGTGGAGATCAAAGGGTAAAATGTGTGCTGGGTGTATTTTACTATGGGGCCATGTGTTTGTGCTTCACTGTAAGCACACTGCTTTGTATGGCTGTGCTGTGCACAGCCATGCAAAGCAGTGTGCATGAGCTGACAGGGAGGAGAACTGTTCTGTTATGTTTACAAACAGTTCTCCCCGACAGAGATCCTCAGCAATCACCAGGTGCTGGCGTGTAATCACTGGCTGGCACCTGGTGATTGACAGCAGCGGCTGCGAATGGTGGCATGGGTAGGGCGCACGCGTGCCCTCTACCCGGAAATGCGGAATCACGTGTATATACGTGATTTTGCACATCCATGCCGCCCTGTAGCAGTATTTCTGCTATATGGCAGATGGGAAGTGGTTAAACTAGTACTAAAAAAAAAAAAAAAAAAAACTACCAAACTTATTAATTCAAAGAAACCCAGAATAGCTAATCTTTCCCTGTTACAGCTTTATTGGGTAACTGCAACATGAACTGCACTACTTATTAACATAAATATTTTAGTTCATTGCACAATACCGTAGCTATGTGCTGCTAGTGTTAAACCCTTAAATGTGGACAGCAACACAACACAGCCCAGCCCTCACTGCCCATCACTGACGGTCCAAGGCTTCATTTACATGTGTCTCTTTCATTTCCCCCTCTAAAAAGCAATTAATGGTGAATTGCTTTTCAGAGGCAGTTGTCAGGCATCTTGATGGTGATAGGTCACCTCCTAGATGCCTTTTTTTAACCATCCAGAGCCAGCAGCACCGCAAGCACCTGCATTATCTTGGTTGAGGCACAGTCTTGTGCACGTCAATGGTTTGCATTTGAAGGCGATTCCACCTGCCTAACGTGACTGACCAAAATAATGTTTGGCACACAGCAAAGCAACCGTGGCCATATTATCTTGCAGACTGGCAGTCAGGAGTGGTAAAACCACAGCTCAACCCACCTGCTTTTACTACCCCGTGGCAGCTCATGTAATCAAGGCCTAAGTGATGCTGCAGGGAGATTATAGAAGGCCAATACAAATATATAGACACTGCTTATTCTAGTTCAATGTAATTATTTAATTGTACCATTTATAATTGTAATTATATGAAGACATAAATGGATTACAAGGTGAATTTTGGCCCATCTGTTCATCTTTAATGTTTGGAAAAGAAACGTTACCTAACATTGTCGTGCTTCTGTATGTAGATTTTGTGGAACATCATGTCTTCCTTTTTGGTGTTTATATCTTCCTTCATTTCCATTGCCACATGACGTGGTAAAACAGATAGCAGGAGGCGCTCCTACATGGATAAACAGAGAACAGCATGTATGTTAACCAAGCAAAAAGAGAATTTTATTTAGAAATTCATTAATGGTTAATAGCAAAGTTTGCTTTTCTGACGTATTTAAGTGTCCATGGTAGCTTACAAACCACTGTGCAGTTTAAAAAAAAAAAAAAAAAAAAAAAAACGTTTCTTTTAATATGTTATACCCGAGGCCCAAGTCTTTCAGAAAAACTCCCAAGTATGAGTAAACCCCCCCCACCCTGCTTAGATGCAACAAAGATGTGCCTTGGGCACATTGGGCATGCCCCCAGCACTACAGAAATTAGCGTTCTACTCAAAGCCCACACATGCGCAGTTATTTCTCTCCCAGCTGAGCTCGCCAGCTGCTATGCCACAGGGAGAGAGGATTCACTGTACATGCAAGGGCTTTGAACTCAACATGGCACTAGTTCCTGCAGTGCTGGAGGTGTGCTCAATGTACGCGCATCCCCCCGTATCTAGGCAGGACAAGCAGGGTCGTTCACTTTTTTTTCCAACAGGTACAACAATAAAACAGGTCCCTTTTTTTTTTAATTTTTTTAAAGCTTCCCAGGGATTTTTCATCTCCTGGGGATATTTGAAAGCAAGGAAACATATCAGAAAGGTGGCTTCTGAGATTTTATATGATCATTAAATAAATGTGCCACACACATCTGATGAACACTAAATCAGGCCATATATGATTTTTTTTTTTTTTTTTTTAGTTCAATGGAAAAAAAAAATTAACCAATTTCCCCATCCACCAATCCTTCCCAATGAGCTAGTGCATACATTGATCAGTTTTGCCGGCTAAAGCCAGCGGCACTGATCGTCTGTGAAAAACAGGTCAGGTCAACTTGTGTACAATTAGCTAGCCCAGGGGTGTCAAACTGGCAGCCCTCCAGCTGTTGCAAAACTACAAGTCCCATCATGCCTCTGCCTTTGGGAGTCATGCTTGTAACTGTCAGTCTTGCAATGCCTCATGGGACTTGTAGTTTGGCAACAGCTGGAGGGCCGCCAGTTTGACACCCGTGAGCTAGCCCATACATAGATTGAAATCTGGCTGGTTCCTGCTGAATTGGCCAAATTACGATCTACGTATGGCCAGCTTAACATGTGCCTTGCATCTCAAACAATTTTGCTGCTTATTCTACAACATGACCTACAGGCAAGAACACATGTGCTTTATATGTTATGCTAACTTGTTAGAGGATGATTGCAAGCTCAGAGTTATGCAGGCCATACATGGTTCGAATTCTGAAAGATTTTTCGTTCGAAAATCGGAAACGTTGTTTGCTTGGTAATCCGATGGTAATCCGATGGTGACATCATTGATTTCGAAAATCGGAAGACCAAGTCATAACGTTCACTCCATATAACATGCAAAACGTCTGTTCCTTCCAGGTCACGGCTCATGCGCATATTCTTTTCAGAAAAATTATCATATGATTTGACCATCATTGAGTCGAAAATCAGTCGTTTTTCACACATTTTCCAACATGCCTGATCACCGAAAAGAGGAGGAACCACAAAAATCGGCCAGTGCCATTGACCCACTAACAGCAAAAATCGGCCGATTATTCTTAGGTCCGATTTTTGGCTGAAAAATCGGTTGATTTTTGACCCATGTATGGCCGTCCTTAGATTCACATACATGTGTTGTTTCATCACACAGCAGCTTGTTCCTTTCCTCACCTAGTGTAGCACACATGGGTGGCATTAAGTACTAACCTGCTGCTGATTTTCCCTCTGCAGGTGCAGCCTGGCTTGGATGTAACCTCGTGTTTCTTGGAAGGCCTGTCTCTGGGAAACCTCTGCAGGATAGTGGGTACAAATGCCAATGATGTTTGTACAGAGGAAGATCAGCACATTGGCACTTAGCTAGAAAGAGAAGATTGAATAGCTTTAGAATCCCAACGTAAGGGTACTATATCTTCATTTTAACACGTTTACGACCACTAGGTAATATTTTTTATATAAAAACTTCTTATTTGGCATTAAATAGTTTTACCCTAAAGTAACTAGAAATCTCAGAGAAAAATGTAAAATGCTAACGCAACCACAGTAGTCCTGGAGGTGCACAATAAGCTGTATTTGGGAAACACAAAGTAAATTATCACAGTGTGCTAAAATCTGTAACAACCATTGAGAAATTAGCCTACTTTAGTGTAAATAGGCTCATCTGTGATTGGCAAAAAAAAATGCCAGGAGAATAGAACCCCCCCCCCCAAAATGACCCCTTTTTGGAAAGTAGACACCCCCAAGGAATTTGATAAGAGGCATGGTGAGTATTTTACAGACATCATTTTTGTCACAGGGTTTTAAAAAAAAAAAAACGTTTTTGTTTTCTTTCTTCGTATTCCAAAAACATGTGGCAACAAATGAGATCTGCAAAACACTCAACATACCTCTTCGCAAATACCTTGGAGTGTCTACTTTCCAAAAAGGGGTCATTTGGAGGGGTTGCTTCTACTAACCTGGCATTTCAGGGCTAACATTAGAAGCTTAAGCCACACATCACCCACTCTTGAGGACCAAGCCTTTTTCTGACGCTTTTCGTTCACATGAAAAAACAGTTTTTTTTTTTGCTAGAAAATTATTTGAACCCCCAAACATTATATATATATTTTAAAGCAGAGACCCTAGAGAATAAAATCGTGGGTGTTGAAATTTTTTACGTCGCAGAGAGTTTTAAAACGCAAATCTTTTGGGAAAAATACACTTTTTAGAATTGTAATGCACAAAAATACAATAGATTGCCCAATTGATTGATAAAATATAAAAGATGATGCTACGCTGAGTAAATATATATCAAGCATGACATGCTTTAAAATTGTGCATGTCAGTGCAATGGCAACAAAATAAATACATTTTTATTATCGATCGGCGATGCTTTAAAAGCCTCTACAGGTCACCAATTTATATTTAGACAGGAGATCTAGTGCTAGAATTACTGCCCTCGATCTGACGTTCACGGTGCTACCTCACATGCATGGTGCAATCGCTGTTTACATACTGTCACGGGGTCAACGCTTGAGCATGCCGGGGGCAAGGGTGCTTCTTTTAATTATTTTTACACTCTCCTTTTTTTTTTTTTTTTTTAAATCACTTTTATTGTTACCACAGGGAATGTAAATATCCCCTCTGACTGCAATAGGCATTGACAGGTATTCTTTTTTGCGAAATCTGGGGTCTATTAGACTCTAGATATCTCCTCTGCCCTTACATCATCTGATCTCACTAAGATCGGTGTGATCAGATGCTTTCCCAATTTACAAATGGTGCTGTTTAAATAATGCAAAACTGAAGTGATGAAATGCTCGTAGCTTCTGGTCTCAGATTATAGAGATGATTGGAGTCATTCTGGTCTCTAATCAGCTCTATAGTCAGTCAGCGGATCTGCCGGATGCATTCTTGGATTCCCCCCTGGGACAGGAGAGGCCAAGAAACTGTGGAAGGCAGCAGGAGGGGCATGTCCCTTCCCGCTGCTCGTAAAAACAATGCATCAGCTAATTGGCCACTAGGATTGCTTTTAAATGAAAGCCAACTGCCAGCTGAAAAAACGGATACCGCGGGGCGAAGGCACACTCACACCTTTAAACAGGAAGTGACACAAGATTACGTCACTTTGCCAAGAGCTGCTGCTTGCCCACAAAGTGCAGGTAAGTGGTTGGCAAGTAGATAAAAAAAAAAACCTTAAAAAATGTTTTTTTTTTTAAATTTTTCAATATGGTATTTTTTATTTTATTTTTTTATATTTAAATTTTTTTTTCAAATACTTTTATCAGAATAGTACAATGTTGCCATAGTAACATTTTACTGCTCTGGGGGGGGGGGGGGGGGGGGGGGGGGGGGGTTATCAGGGATTTTTTTTTTTTTACACTTTGCTTTGCAGGAGAAATAAAGATCATTTCTTCTGCAATGCAAAGCTTGCTGTCATGAAGATAAATAATTAATTAACTGTCATCAATGAGTTAGGTTTTTGACAGCTCAAGATAGTGATCTGTGATTGGCTGGAGCTGGTCACATGGTACAAGGTGTTGTGATTGGCCCTATGTATCATGTGACAGCTGGCTCCCTTGAGGGTTAGGGACTGATGTGAATGTACAATATATATGTAAAGCGCTGCATAAATTGATGGCGCTATATAAGTACCTGAAATAAGTAAATTGGAAGAGAAGCAGAGCTGTTTTGAATGAGGTTGATTCATAACAGCTTTGTTTACATTGTGATCATGTGATCGCATAGCGATCACCTGATCTCCATGTCCCATTCACCAGGCTCTTCTTCCGGCTGTGTCTGCCGGACACAGCAGTCCCCGATGGGGGAGTGCTGCGCAGCGCCCCCTTGTGTTAGTACAGCCAGAGTGACACACGAGTACCTCGCTTGGCCTGTAGCTGCTGCCCGGCTGCAGTACATTGCAGTCGGGCGGGAAGCGGTTAAACAGTGTCAGTTGTGTGACAGCTGTGAGTCTGCTGGGGGCTGCTGAGAGCACATCCAAGATGGTGGTGCCAAGCAGCAGTCTCAGGGCTTTTGGATGTCTACTAGAAGTAAGCTTTTACAGGTAAATTACATACCTAAATACATGAAAAACACACATAACCTTATGGATAAATTGTTGTTTTAAGGGTGTAGGAAGCCTGATGAGTTCAGCTTTCTACAGTATGCTCAGCAATCTGTTTGCAAAGCATGACCACATTGTACAGGCCTTTTCAATCCTCACTACATTGGACTGCATCTTCCGGGGTACTTGTTGGTGCTTGAGTGTGTTGGGTCATTTGAATATGCAAGTTTTTTTGTCAGTGTGTTGCTGGGTTTCAAAAACAAGCAAGATGTCATGCTGGTTAAAAATACTTCTGTTTGAAGATTCCCTTCATATTCTTCTTTTCTTTTTTTTTAAGGCCAAGTTTATCTTTAAGCCTAGGTTTACACTATGAATCGCACAGGAAGCGCCCCC